GCACACCCCCCACCGGGTATGTGCCCGCAACCAAGGTACATGCCCTTGACTGGAATCGAACCCGGGACCCTTCAGTCCGCAGGCCGGCACTCTATCCACTGAGCAAAACTGGTCAGGACTGGACTGCTATTCTTAATCACTGCCTATCTGATAGGTGCATATAGGGTAGGGATTGTTTTCATTTTAATTTCTTTGATTATTAGTGAGTCTTAATATTCCTTCTTATGTGGAAAAACGTCTTTGAAAGAATGATTTTTTTTTTCTGAGAAAGAAATTCACACAAAATCAAGTCAACTTCCAAGGGGAAGTTGAAATGGAACAAATTTTCATAGTAATTTAATATAAGCAATTTGCCTATTTAGTGACAATAGGAGCAATCCAGCTGTAAAAGTATTGCCCCAATGTACTGATCTACCAAAATCCAAGGGCAAAATATGGTTATTTAAAAATCTTTTCAGTGAGTTTCTCTTTTAGAAAAAAAGGGGAGATAGGAAAAAAAAATCAACATCATTAAATGTGTCCACAGGAAACCATGTAATATCAATATTGGACTCATGAGGTGGGGCCCATTTGTGAACACCTGGCTGGATGTGTATATAATGATTTCATGGAGAATTTATATTTATATAGACAGCCGGGTTGAACGACAAAGACTGAGTTTGAAGACCCCAGGAAACCTGTCACTGGAAAATGTTTTGATGTCAGTTGCACATCCATTTGGAAGGTGGTTTATCAGTAGGATTTCTTCAAGTGGACATAACCGAGATGCACTGGGGCGTGAGTCACTACTGAAGGCTTCATCTGTAAACCTGGAATTTTGCTTTCAAAATATTCTTAACAGAAGACCCTTTTTAAATTATTATCATTGATTCCAAAGAGGAAGGGAGAGAGATAGAAAGAGAAACATTAATGATGAGAGAGAATCATGGATTGGCTGCCTCCTGCATGCCCCGTACTAGGGGGTGATCAAGCCCACAACCCGGGCATGTGCCCTTGGCGAGAATCGAACCTGGGACCCTTTAGTCTGCAGGCCGACACTCTATCCACTGAGCCAAACCAGCTAGGACAGAAGACCCATCTTTGCTGTCACCAAAGGTTTTCTTCATGTTACTTCTATCTTGAAAGGATCATTGAAGATCCCTTGAGATGGAAAATTCCACTACTCTGTGGCTTGACGTGTGTAGATTTAACCCAAGCTTCTTTTTTTAAAAAAATGTTTTTGTTAACCCTCACCAGAGGATATTTTTTCCCCATTGATTTTTAGAGAGGAAGGGGGGAGGCGAGACAGAGAGAGAGGAACATTGATGTGAGACGCATCAATTGGTTGTCTCCCACACACGCCCCAGCCGGAATTGAGGCTGTAACCAAGGAGGTATATGCCCTTGATCAGAAGTGAGCCCGAAACCCACCAGTCCTCAGACAGAAATGCTAGCCCTCGAGCCAAACCGGCTAGGGCTAACCCAAGCTTCTTAATCCCCTTTAACATCCCACCACCGCTCACTCCTCTCAACAATTTCTTTTGTAATTTCTCCAATCCCAAGACTAATTGCAGACAGTAATCAGTGTGTTTTGTGATATTTATAGTAATGTCTTCATCGCTTTGTCCTTCAAATGTGGTGTTTAGTTACAGCAATAACTGCACTGCTGTGGAGAGGCTTCCTTTGGTCCAAGACAAGTAAATCAGGCCTGCCCAGAGCCCCTGGGAGGCAGCCACCCAACACAGCTGTGTCATCTAACACTTCCTTCCCCGCCTCTGTGCGGCTCCGTGCACTCTGCTCGCGTGTAAGACAACTCTGGGCTCCCCACCTGGCAGGCAGTCACCCGGTGAGGAGGTTGCCAGCCGCCAGTTTACAGGCTGGCTGTAGCCCAGAGATAGTTTTATTTGGACTTCACTGTCTTTTCCTTTTAAATCTGAGCCAACATTTAAAAACCAAAAAGTTTCTCATGAAATCCTGGATTTCTGGCTTGAAACTGGAAGTTCTGGCAATACTGTGCCTGCTGTTTCCAAGTGGCACTCAGCCACCACTGAGCACCGGCCCGTCTTCCTAGAGGGAGCTTGGAAGGACAAAGCTGGCCCTGTTCCCTTCTCACACCACCCGCTCTGTGTCTTCAGGCTGAGTTTGACACTCCTGCCAGGAGATGCAGATGTCACAAAGGACAAAAAGACACAGGCCTTGCCCCGGCCGGGTGGCTCAACTCGTTGGAGCATCATCCCATACACCAAAAGGTCGTGGGTTGGAATTAGGCGGATGCAGCGAGCAACAGGGGAGTTTATTAGAGGGAAGGGGGATGGAGCCACACCTGGGAAGGTTAGGATTCAGCCTCCACTGTCCTTGGAGTTGAATTTTATGTGCAAAAATCGAAAGGTGTGGAGGCTGGGGGATGTAACTGTTCTAGTCTGATTGGATAGAGTTCATTGTCCTTCAGACCGATTAGTGCTGGCCATGGAGGCTGTGGGCTACAGGCGCCATTGGTATTGGTGGCCTGCTGTCTGGCCCTCGGTGCCGCTGCCTCCTGTTGTGCGGGATAAGGTGACCGCAAGCTGTTCTACGAAATGAGGCTGGGCCACTTTCACGTTTGGGACTTTCTAGTCCATCTGAGCCGAGTGTCCTCTGCTGGTCTGTCACCTAGCGGGTGGGTTTGATCCCCTTTCAGCTCTCACATCGCTCTCTCTCTCTCTCTCTCTCTCTCTCTCTCTCTCTCTCCTATTCTGCTGTAAAAAGGAAGAAAATTTTACCTTTTGCAACAGCATAGATGGACCTGAAAAACATTAATGTAGGTGAAATAAGTTAGTCAGAGAAAGACAAATACCATATGATTTCATATGTGGAATTTAATGAACAAGCTGAACTACCAAGCAAAATAGAGACAAGACTCATAGACAGAGAGCAGGCAGACAGCCCTGGCAGTGGGGGAGGGGTGCTGCGGGGGGGGGGGGGGGGGGGGTAGAAGTATTGAGCAAAAGCAAAAAGAGAGAGAGAGAGAGAGAGGTGATTGTGGAATGAGAGGAGGGTCGGTGGAAATGGAAGAGGGCATAGAGGGAATACATGGTGATGGAAAATTTTTTAATTTAAAAAAATTTCAAAAGCCAATAAAATAAATCAATAAAACCATATCCTTGGGTGAGGATTGAAAAAAAGAAAGAAACAAAAATGAAAGAAACAAAGAGGGTGAACAGGCTTTCCCTCTGAGGAATGTTATCTGCTTGGGGAGGCAGGGCGTAAACATCTGACAAATCAGTAAGCCTGTGCGTGTTGGAAAACCACAGAGCTGTGGCAGGGCCGCAGGAATCTGCTGAATGGTGTGAGGGAAGGCTATGCCACGTCAAGGATTTGGAGTTTTGAGACAAGGGAAATGATAACAGGTGATGTTTATTGAATATTCACGATGTGCCAAGCACTTCTCTAATGATTTGCATATTAACTTATTCACGTAACGATTCTGTGAGTAGGTAATATTATCCTCAATTTGCAGATGAGAAAACTGAGCCTAGATCAGCGTGAAGCCCTATCACTGGGAACGGAGGAGAGCAGGGGTGTGTAAGCATGACTGTGGTGCCGGAGCCCAGGTGTGCTGCCTGTGCGCCCCTGGACGGTCCATCACCCGCTCTTGGTCTTGTTTCACTCATCCGATAATTATCTCATCTTCCTGCTCGAAGATGAAGACTGGGTTGGTTGTTGGCGGCGGGGAGAAGGGGGCAGTGAATGTATAAATGCTCTTAATTGAAAGGCATGAGGAGGCCAGGGTTTCCACAGGGGAGCTAGGAATCAGACTCATCAAATTGTTGGACTCTGGTTAGGCCACATTAACTAGTACAGCTCTTCTCAGCCTGGCAGTGAGCTGGCAATCTGGGGACCCAGATTCTCATTTAGGAAGTCTGGGCTGGGGCTCTTAGGACCTGTATGATCAGAATTCTCAGCGTGATGTGGGGCCAGGGCCGTGGGCAACAATAGGTACCACTTTACTTTCCATTTGTGCCTGTTTATAACTCAAGCCCTGGGGTGGGGTGGGGTGGGGTAACCCGGGCAGGACTTCAGTAGACATGCATCGACTTCATAGATCTTCACTGAGCACCTACCATGGCCGTCTCTGCACCAGGAATGGGTCTCTGGCCTGAATGTCATCTACTAGTGCCCCCAATTCCACCTTAAAACACTGCAAAACTCTTCACATGTGTGACACTGTAATTGCATGGAAGTAACTAAGTGGAGGGATCGGTGGCGATGTTCCTGTGAATAACGGCTGCTTTACTTTGCTGTGTGACTCAGGGGAGGGGGGAGTGGTGTGCTGGAAACTGCTCTTAGTAGCTCATGAAAGATGACTGCTAGATTGCTGGGAAGTTTGAGAGTAAAACACAAACATTATTAATAAAATTATATAAACCCACAATTTAAAGAATTATATTTAAAAATACTAAAAATGATTTTATTTCCTAATTATTTTACTATTATTTCTTCTCTTAAGATTATGCATGGCTATTCTATCTACATGGTGGGAATAACATATAATGGTCTGCTACAGCACATCCTCCAAATTCCATGTCCAGGAATGTTGCATAAGTAGCTTGAAATTCCCTATGGTGGCTGTGTTTACACCACATAAATTGGCACACATTATAAAGCAGGGCTTTGATTGTTTTCCTGGATGAGCCAGTTGTGAAACATTTACTGGAGAAATTTTAATTAATCTGAGTTATATGTCGCAGCTCTCCCTCTCATTAGGCATGTGAACCAATTCTGGCCAATGAGACAGGAAAGTTGCTTTTTGAGGGAGTGTTTTGGAAATATTTTCTTGCTTAAAATAAATGAGACCCAGGATAGAAATGGGCTCTTTCTGTTTCTGGCCGTGCGATGTCCGGATGGGACATACCTAGACTTTCAGTGGTTATCTTCTAACAATGCCAAGGCAGGACGAACAGGCACTGTTCTTTCTTCCTGTCTTTATTAAGACCTTATATTCAGAGGAAACATGAGCTGTATTTTTGATATTTTCTCTTCTAGAGGGGACCCTGATAGATGCGACATCTGGGGAAACACTCCTCTACATTACGCAGCCTCCAATGGTCATGCCCACTGCGTCTCATTCCTGATCAACTTTGGTGCCAACATCTTTGCCTTGGACAATGATTTACAGTCTCCACTGGATGCTGCTGCCAGCAGAGAGCAGAATGAATGTGTTGCTCTCCTGGATAAAGCAGCCACTGCCCAGAACATCATGAACCCCAAGAAGGTCACCAGGCTGAAGGAGCAGGCTCAGAAGAATGCCAGGAGGCAGATCAAAGAGTGTGAGAGGCTCCAGGAGAAGCACCAGAACAAGATGGCCCGCACCTACAGAAAGGAGGAAGCCGGGACACTCTCTTCTTCCAAGAGCACTCTTTCTAGGTCATCCCTTTCAAATGCATCTGCTTCCAGCACATTTGGGTCACTGTCTAAGGGCATTAAAGGCACCTTCAAGATACAGTTCAAGAAGAATAAAGATACAGCAGAGCAGGGAGGGAAGGGGTGCCGAAACGGGCAGAGGAATGTGATGGAAGTGTTCAGCGAGGAGGAAGAAGACACATTCTCAGGGGAGTCCAGAGAGAAGCTCTCAGCAGAGGACAGTTGTGCGCAACACGAATCCATTCTCAGTCGTCCAGGTCTAGGGAATATTGTTTTTAAAAGGAACAGAATATTGAGTCCTGAAGACATGTCAGATGACAAGAGAGGGTTGGAGTTTAAAGTGTCCAGTGAATTGTTTCAGCGACAAGGAGCAGCACAGCCTGAGGAAGCAGAGGCTGATGAAGAGGGAGATGGAAACAGCTTGGAAGAGGCCTTGCCTTGGGATGAGGATGTGGTGGAGTGGGAGGAAGACGAGGGGGACGCTACGCCCCTGGAAGTGTTCCTGCAGTCCCACCACCTGGAACAATTCCTTCCGTTTTTCATGAGAGAGCAGATTGATCTAGAAGCTCTGTTGCTTTGCTCTGATGAGGACCTTCAGAGCATACAAATGCAGCTGGGTCCCAGGAAGAAAGTTCTCAATGCTATAAACAGAAGGAAGCACGTGCTACAGCAGCCTGGCCAACTGGTCGACACCAGCCTGTGATGGCGTGCTTGACCAGCAGGGGGAGTCCGCAGTGTGGGCAAGGCAGTGCCCACTGGATGCACTCCAGGCAGTACCTGCTCTCTACTGAATGCCACAGCTGGGGATGGTGTCTAGGGTTTTGGAAATGCCCACCTAAAAGTTTGAGGCCCAAACTACTCTGAGAAAGTCTTCTATACCTATACAAATAAACCACCAGTGAGAAACTCAAGGAGACCTGGGAATAAAAAATTGCATTTCTCTTCAGTTTTATTTTTAATATTTATGAATATGGAAAGGGTTAAATGGATGGCAGAGAAAAAGACTTTACTTTTCGAACTCTAGATTTAAGATTATAACTCTCATCACACTGCTTTTTACTTTCTGATTCTCATGTCCTGCGGATTCTAACTCCAGTTCTGTCCTTAGCTCTAGATTTTGTTTATTGGTGGAGATCAAAGTTCCTTCATTGGTGTAAGATTTGAAACCCAACTGAAATGTATCTAAGCCTTTAACACAGTGGTTCCCAACATGGGGCACATGCCCCACAGTAGGGGGCAGGCAATTTGATTTTTAAGGGGGGCAATTAGAAAATCAGTTATTAACCATGAATTTTTTGCAGTTATTATGGTTCTAGGGGCCTCCTATACAGTATATAAATATATATTGTGACATATTTTGCATTTCAGTCCTCTATTGTTTTGAAACTGTATTTGTTATTTTTTCATATCACTTCATATTATTTTTTAACCATTTCTTAGTGATTTCTTTCTAAGTACTTCAACTGTCCTTTTGATCTTTTATTTTTCTCTTTCATGGGTGCCATGTTCTTTGGAAGCTTGTTTAGACCAAGTTAATAGCCTTTTAGGCTTCCTCTACGTGAATAAGAGTTCACTTTTTGAGTAATAGGAATTCTATGTCACGGGGGAGGGTGGGGGCATCAGGGTTTTAGAGATGCTTAGGTGGGATGTGGCCAAAAGAAGGTTGGGAACCACTGTTCTAACAGATGTCTACACGTTTGCAAGTAAAGAAAGTGGATCTACAATACTTCTGCCTGAGTACCCAGACAGGGTGTCAGGTAGGGAGAGTGAAGAGAGAACTAGAATATAGGGTACCTGCTATGGACAAACTGTGTTTCCCCCAAATTCATATACTGATGCCCTACCCGCCAATGTGACTGGCTTTGAAGATAGGACCTTTATCAAAGAGGTGATTAAAGTTAAATGGGGTCATAGATGGGGCCCTAGTCCCATATGACTGGTGCCCTTATAAGGAGAAGAGAGAGAGACACCAGAGATGCACACGCACAGGGAAGAGGCCCTGTGAGGGCCCAGCAAGAGGACGGCCATCTGCGACTCAGAGCGAGAGGCCTCAGGAGGAACCAGGCCTGCAGACACCTTGGTCTTGGACTCCCAGCCTTCAGAGCTGTAGGAAAATAAAGTTCTGTGTCTAAGCCTGTGGTATTTTGTTATGAAGCTTGAGCAAGAGGGTGGGAGGAAGGGAAAGAAACATACAGGAGACAAAGTCTGGCTTATTTGGTGATTTTCTAAGGGTGCTTACCCTCTGAAACTTAAAGGGGAAAATACCTAGGTTCTTTGTAAGGAAAATTTGATTATAAAAGTAACCTTTACATTGTCTTGCTCACTACGTGCCTCTTTCATTTCCTGTTGCCCATCCCCGTTGGTGCATGTCTAAGTCCATGCTGCTTCTGTAATGTAAGTGGGCAACATTGCTCTGACACTTTTTGAGTGGCAGCTCAAATTCAAACCGAAACCTTACTGAATAGTTAAGCTTCACTGCATTTTTATTGCCAGGCTTACATCAGATGACATTTACCATCAATTACGTGTATAAAGTAGAAACAGCGATTTCTTCAGCATGCTTCCTGGCTCACGTCGGTCTGGGTATTTCGGGAGGCACCACGGAGGATGGAAGCATAGGGAGGGGTGTGATGGACAATTGGCTGGATTCACAATGGATGGATTCAGAGAGGTGTCAGTCTTCGAGTAGGTAACTATGTACGAAGGCAGATGCTGCATTTTGTTGGTCTGGAATAAAGTGAAGTTGTATTTGCTTTCCATAGTGTGCACACATGCAGGGTCACCTGGGAGGCACTTGTGCCCGATCCTGCCTCTGTTAGGACCTGAACTGCAGGTGCCGGACCCCCTCTCCAGGTGTCCCCGGGTCTGCCCGAGACTCGCTGCTGGGCTGTAGCAGAGGCCACTCGGAAGTGCTGCTAACGGAAAGGGTGCTTTCCAGTGGCGCGTTACCCACGTTCACCAGAGGTGAACATAATGAAGCCTGTAACGTCTAGCAAATGGGAGGCGGTGTGAGCTGGGAACCCACTGGCCACTCGCAGGATGAAGACAGAGGGTGGAACGCCTCGGTGCTTGAGACAGGGAAAGGCAGGCGGTGGAAGTGCTGCTGGAACTCAGCCTGTGCGATTTCATTCTGACCGCTTCATCGAGGTGATCCTTTCTAGTTGGGATTGTCTGTGCTGCCCTGCTGGAGGGAGGGGTAGCAATTGGCTCAGCAAATATAGGGCGGGGCGGGGGGGGGGGGGGGGAGCGTGTGTTTGCCCAGAACTGAACACTCTCAATGTAATTATCTCTCAGCCTTTGTGTGGATTCTGGGATGAGATAGAAGGGTGTGGATCTGAAGGACACATGGATTTAAATACCTCATATAAAAATCCCATCAAAGTGCTGGGTTAGAAAAAGGGAAACATGTCTTCACAGTGAATAACTGAACCTGTGAGGCCAGGAGGGGCCATTAGAAGTTAAGTGTATGTTTTGAACTGTGGCATTTTACTTTAATTACAGTGGCCCAGTTGGTAGAGTCCATAGGCTTATCAGCCATTCCCTGAACTAAAGGGTAAATGCTATGTCTGTGATGATCACAACACTATAGCCCGCTGGGCACTGGCTCAAAATGTATGAACAGCACAGTCAGAATTAGCGTGGGGCTACATGTCAGGGAGCAAATGAAGCGAAGTAAAGGGTTCCCTCTTCCCTGCCAGAGAGGCCAGGCCCGCCTCACGCCGGTGCGAGCTGTGCAGGGCACTCCTCTCTCAGCCACGGTGCCAGGCTCCAGACTGGGCACGCAACCGCGATGGGCCAGCGAGCCTCGGGTTCTGGGACTTTAACTGCTGAGGAAGAGACCCTGTCTCTGCAGGGGCTGCTGGAGGCGCTGCGGGCCACCGCCCTGCCCCCGGGGAAACCTGCTGATGGCGGCGCCAACCCTGCAGAACCCAGCGGAGGACGAGGCAGCCAGCCTGGGTCTTGCTGGCACCTGGAGCCCGGGTGCAGCTGTGGCTGACGGTTGCCCGCGTCCTTCTTAACTACACGCACCAATAAATGCCATTCCTCATCCACGGACGCATTCAGCTTAAGGTGGTTGGAGTTGTGGTCTCTACCACTTGTCACCAAAGGAGTCCTGACCAACGTGGAAGCTAAACTGTTCCCCGAACCTTTAATTGTAAGAAGCAGAACACAAAAGGCTACACAATGCCTGGTTCTTCTTAATGAAACGCCCAGAAGGGGCGAGTCCATGCGATGGAGAGTAGGTGAGTGGTTGCCGGGGGCGGAGGGCTCTGGGCTTCTCCTCGGGGATGAAATGCCCCGGAATCACACGGTGGTGAAGGCTGCCCACGCTGTGACCACGGTTTTCATACTAAAACCACTGACCTGTACACTTTAATTTTGTGGTGCAGACATTGTACCTCAATTTAAGAAACAGAACAAAATTAATTACCGTCATTGGCACTCCCCCAGCGACTGAGTGGGAGCACTTGCGCCCCTCGCTTTCCTTGCCATGAGGGACAGAAGTTACCGAAGCAAAAACTGCAGAAAAGGAAATCGCTTTATTTCCAGGAGATACAAGAGCCGGTGGGATGCCTGGGGAAAGGGTGCTGCTGCAGCCCGCACCGGGGGCCCGGCCACCCAGCTCCCCTCAGCTACAACGCAAGGAGGATCTTGCCAATTAAGGTAAGACAGGATGAGCACAACACTACAGCCCGCTGGGCACGGGGTTCCCTCGTTTGATCTAGAAATTACAGGACAACTGGCGGCAAGGCCCCTGGAGTTGCAGCGCCGCCTCGGCGGCCACGCTTCGCACTATTTACCAGACGACCAGGAGTCATACACTAATTTGGCCGCAACCGCGTCCTCCACCGCCATTCCTGGAAGGACAGAAACTGGGTCACTTTTTGTCAGAACAGCTTTTCCTGGTGCAGCCCTGTCTGTAGTGCTGACTGACGGCACCAGGGCATCAGGACCGTGTCCAGGAAGCGCGGCTCAGAGGGTCTGCGGAGGGCAGGCCCCTGCAGGGAATGTGATGCCCAGCAAGAAACGCCCACCAACTGACTTCCAGTGCCATCCCAGGTTCAGTTCGGGGTCAGGAGCGTTCAGTGCAGGCCCGATGGTAACTGCTGAGGCCTGCGCTGTGGGCTCGGCCTCCTGAGGGGGCAGAAGCGCCGACACAGGGACACAGTGAGCCCGCTGTGTGCCAGCCAGACTTCCTTTACGGACACCAAAGCTGGAACTTCGTATAATGCTCATGTTCTGAAATCTCATTCACACACACAACGCCCCCCCCCCCCGGCCCTCCCCCCTCCCCCGCGGCCCCATTTGAAAATGTAAAAACCATTCCTAGCTTTCAGGTCCCACAAAAATTGGCGGTTTGGCCAGGTTCCGCCCACAGGCTGCAGTGCGCTGGCTCCTGTTCCATCCAAACGCCAACTCCTTCACCTCGAATGGGTATTATTTTCCTCAAGGGCAGGGTGGTTTTATTACCTTCTGTAGCCCAGTACAGAGCCTGACACATCACAGGTGTTTCATATGCACCTGCCATGTGTGTCCATTTCCTTGAGTCTGGTGGGTGGAGAGCTGGCTGAGCCACCCCTGCTGGGCCCGCCTGCAGCCCGGCTGGGCCCCAGGGAGGCTGTGGCCCAGCCAGCAGGAAAAGCAGTCTCTGGTTGGGTCTCCCTGCCATCTCCCTTCAGCTCTCCATCTTCTAACCTCTTTCCCTTTCGCCCCCACCTCTGCAGCAGTTCCAGTGGCATCTGTGTCTAGATGAGACTGCTGGTATGTGCTGTGAGTGAACCACCCTACGCCGCACTTCACACGCACCAAACGCCAGGCGTCCTCAGGCGTCAGGGAGCCCTGCGTGGATCGGTGAGGCCCCCGGAGCGGCAGAGGCACCCACCCCAGGGCTTCCTGTCTCGAGTCCATGGGCACAAGCACGTCACTACGGCACGTAAATAACAGACCCAAATGGCTGAGTCACAACTAGTCCGCCCCGGGGCCTGGTCACTCCTCCCTCCTCCCCCCAGTGGTTAGTGTGCCCGGAGCAATGGCGTTACCCAGAGACTTGAACACCGTGGTCTTCTCACAGAGGGCTGGCTTCACTCCCGCCACCACCTCTCCCAGCTCAGCGAAGATCTCTGCCTGCAAAGCGAGCACACGGGCCGGCCATGCAGCACACGCCTGCCCAGCGGGCTGTACAGCTGGTGGCAGGGGGGCAGCCCGGGAGTGGATAAGAGATGAACCTGATAAACAGACCATCTGTAAACTGGGTGTGGTCAGGACGATGCTTCCCCCTAGAACCCGCTCGGGACCCTCTGCCTGTGTGACACAGCGAATGCCCGCGGCGGGGTGTCCTGCGGGACTCTGGTCAGCAGGAAACGGCATGTGCCTCCCTCAGCACTCACTCTGCAGCCTCTCTGGCTTACGTGCCCCGATCACCAAAGAGAGGGCAGAAGGTGGCCCACCAACGCCATACTTTGTTGGCAACATTGGAGGTTTCAAGGCTCAACAGGCCCCATTTCCTAGGCCCCTGGTAAAGCCAGCAGCCTTTCTCTCCAGGCACAGGAGCAAAAACAGGCCACCAGCAAAATGGCCATGTCATTCTAAAAGGGGATTAGAAATGAGTGAGAGATATTTAGGCTCTGTCACCCCGCAACGAGGTGGGGGTGAATGAGGCCTGGAGCAGGCCAGACGGGGGAAGCCCATGAGCCTAGCCCCCGGCGAGGCCACCAGGAAGCAGCACCAGGAGCAGAGGCTCACCCCCGACAGCAGCACGTCTCCAGACTCCTTGAGGGCTGCCTCCCGGGAGTCCACGTACAGCACGGCGCCCGCCAGGAGCTGGTCGTCCAGCTCTCTCCAGTCCGGTCTGCTGGCTCCCACGGCTAAGGAACAGCACAAGAGACCCTGAGCGCAGACAGGGCCGGGGGTATCAGGGACGCCCCTCCGCGCCAGCAAGACTGAATGAATGCCCATTCACAAGAACAGAGCCTGCCATGTGTGGCATTGCCATTTCCTAGCCCACTCATTCCCTAAAGATTGTGAGGCAACTAAGTGTTCGTCTATCGGGTACCTACCACCTGGGAGATGTGTCACACATATTATTTAGTTCACTTTGTGTCTGGTTCCCATTTAAAAGATGCACTAACTGAGGCTCAAAGCTCAGGTGCTTGCCACAGGTATGTATCTTGTGTGAGTACACCTAAGGCTGAGACAGTGCCGTTCCTTTCAGCCTCTTCCATTTATGGGGGCAGTGACTTTCTTACCCAAACCCTGGCACTTCCTCAGACCCCTGACTGTCTGTTTGGTCTTCGCCATTCCCGCCCCTCACCTCCAACCACTTCTCTCCTAACTGTGACCAGGGAGCCTGGTGCCAGCATCTGGGAGAAGCCAATGCAGAGCAAGCTGGCTCCACCCTAGTGCAAGCTTCATGCCCTCTGCAGCCCAGAGCCTCTCTGCTGACGCCTGCCCGGGTGCATCGGCTATCAGCTAACACAGAGCTGTAACCAAGTGCCTGCAGGGCCATGCAGACAGCCACTATGAGCGAAGCTGTCAGAGGGGCTGGG